AAAAATCAATAATATTCCTATATCCCAGCAATAACCAACTGGAAGATGAAATTGGAAAAGTAAACAATAGCAGCAATAAAAATCTATTACTGTATTAAAGAGGCAAGAGTTATTTATGGAGAAAGTTACAAAACATGATTGAAGGACATGAAAGGAGATCTGACTAATGATCACGATGGGAAGATACAATATTTACAAAGATGTCTATTCTCTCCAAGTCAAGCTATAAATTTAGTGCAATTCCAATAAAAATCTCAATGGATTTTTTCATAGGACTTGATAACTTAATTGTAAAATTCATATGAAAGAGAAGAGGAACAAATGTAACTTAGACAATTTTGAACTATAATAAAACAGAGGGATTTGCCCCACGAAATAACAAGACATTACAAAGCCATAGTAAAAACACATAGAAAGTAACACATGTTTGTCATGGACAGGCCTTGTAGTCTCAAAGTGCCTGCTGGATACATTACTACATAGGAAGAAAGTAGTCCTAGATGGGTCTTTTCTAAATATCATAAACTTCTGTGACTTAGGTGTACCTATTGGGTGAAAACAGTTGTATGCTTATTCATGAATTGGATGAATTCATGAATTGATGACTTGGACAGTGCCCAAGTCAACAGAACTACAGAGGAGTTGGATACAATGAAAGCCAACCTCCCATGTGGTGCTTTGGGGGCAATCTAGACTGAAGTGTCAAACTGACCCAGTAATGTCTTATTTTGGAAGAAGAGTAAGTGCTAGGTAAACAAATACAAAGTGGGTTATCAAGCTCAAGTAGGACCCTGAAAACCCTAAAATATTGTTCTTATTCTCCCTTAGGGCTGCTGTTCATTCCAATATTGGGAGGCAACCAAACAGATGACTGTCCTTGCTACCCCATGTTCCTGGATCTTCTTGCCAATTAAATTAATTCACATAGCACTCTGTGTCTCTTCCTTGCAGCCTTAATAAGACTAACAGGAAGATCCAGGTTTGAGGAAGATCCAGGTTTTGGAGGAAGCGTCTTTAAGAAAAATTACACAAAATTACAAATACAATTAGATATAAATGAGAAAAATCACAATAAATTATAAATTTAAAACATAAACATCACAAAATGAAATATATAAAAGAAATAATAAAATATTTGTATTAATTTTCTGATATACCTCTATGTTTTTTCCTATGTATTTTGACTGCATACACTTTGTTTACCTCTTCAGATGGCAAGCTTGTTGTAATACTGTATTCTATAGCGGAAAATGCAAGATAATACAGTGCTTTCTGGAGTCACCTTTCTTACAGTTTTTATATCCACCTGTTCCCCAAAACACTGCCCTATCAACGTAACTCAACCACCCCTTCCCATCTGCATTCCTTCTTCACTTCACCACATCATCCCCTTCTTCCAGCCAAACACAGGTACATATACTTTGTCCTTGTAACCCATGACCTGATAAATTCTGTTAGGAGGTTTCTTAGGAATTAAAAGGCTTCAAAACAGGAAATATTCATTGATGAAATGACAACTTGTGAAATTTTTCCCCACTTAAATTGTCCAATCTTTTAACCTTAGGGCCTATACCCACTTCTATCAAAATCCTGGTCATTCATTTGGAAATATCCAGCCCTCAAATGCAACTGAAATCTATTGCAAATTAAAAGCGCAAATTTTCAAAAGATGTGGAATTTCATGACCTTGAAATTGATGTTAGTAAACTGCTGGATCCACATGCAAAGTCATTAATAAAGGAGGACTTCACAGAGTTGGACCAGATAACAAATGAAAAAGAGAAAATCAATGAGAACGATGTTGACATCAGTACATCAAAAGGAAATAATCTGATTTCAAAGGATTAAGAGAGGACTTCGGGAAAACTAGATAAATGCTTCCAAAACTTTTGCAAATAAGACCCTGCCGCAAAAATCAAATGCACAATGAAGGATAATGAGCCATATAAAAAATTATGTCCCTCCTCCAAAACATTTGAGTTACCAGAATTAGCACATACTTGCAACTGTAACCTAACGTGTTAAATATAAGATAAATTCATTTTTATAAGTTTTGGTTGAATTTTTTTCAATATAAAGTTCAAATCAAGTCTTTTTCTTTCACTCTTTCACTATGGAATCTACGTCTCTATTTTTAATGGATTCACTGTAAGAGGGTCTTTTCTGGTACCAATTATCTTTGGAAAAGAAAGACCTTTTGTACTCATCTCTGTTTTACAAGCCTGCAATATATTTTAATACCACCACTCCCCCACTGGAAATTGTAAAAAATACAGACTCTTGGGTTCCTCTGCCATACCAGTTTTGAATCTCCAGGTGGAGGACACGAACTAGGAGTTAAAAAAAATTTTCCATATTTTAATTTACTAATTATTTTTACATCTTTTTTTTTTTTTTTTTAGAGGTGCAGTCTCACTATGTTGCCTAGGCTGGACTTAAATTCCTGGGATCAAGGGATCTTCTGGCTTCAGCCTCTCCAGTAGCTGGGACTGCAGGTACATGCTACCACACCTGGCTAAACTCCCTATTTTTAACACTCATCATAAGCAATCCTCGTGATAATCAGGCAAGTGTGGTAATAGCTACTTTAACTCATCCAAAGCTTTCTCTCTTTATAGTAACCTTAAGAAATCTTTAACCTAGTCAGCTGGTTTTGAGGTAGGAGGTAGGACTCGGACACCGAACCAAATTGAGCACTAGCCTAAACAGGTCTGAGGTGGAAGCCGCTTTCCATCAGATAGGCACAGCAGTGTGTCAGTTCATCATTGCCATGGCAACACCCGGGAGTTACCACCCCTTTCCAGGGCAATGACCTGATGACCCAAAAGTTACTACCCCTTGCCTAGAAATGTCTGCATAAACTGCCTCTTTTTTTTGTTGTTGTTGTTGAGACGGAGTCTCGCTCTGTCGCCCAGGCTGGAGTGGTGCTATATCGGCTCACTGCAAGCTCCGCCTCCCGGGTTCACAGCATTCTTCTGCCTCAGCCTCCCAAGTAGCTGAGACTACAGGCTACCACGCCTGGCTAATTTTTTGTATTTTTAGTAGAGACAGGGTTTCACCGTGTTAGCCAGGATGGTCTCGATCTCCTGACCTCGTGATCCGCCCGCCTTGGCCTCCCAAAGTGCTGGGATTACAGGCGTGAGCCACCGTGCCCGGCCAAACTGCCTCTTAATCTGCATGTTATTAAAAGTGGTAATAAATGTGGGTATAGATGTGACTGAAAGCTGGTCTGAGCTGGTGCTTTCTGCCTATGAGGTGGCTCTGCTCTACAGGAGCAGTCACGGCTGTGACACCACCAAAGCTGGAACACCGCCTCTTCAATAAAATTGTTTTCTTCTACCTCCGGGTTGCCCTTGAATTCTTTCCTGGGCAAAGCCAAGTACCCTGGCTGCCTAAGCCCCACTTTGGGGCTCGCCTGCCCCGCGTCAGTTCGTACTCGCTGGACTCATTCCTTTATCCTTTTATTGTTTTTACATGCTCTCCTTCCTAGATCCGTGTCTAATCTACACAGCTTTCTGAAATTTATGTAGTCTTTAGAATTTTATAACCTGCTCCTGCTTTTCATATTGTATTATTTTCTTAATATTTCAAAACACCTTTGAACAAGTCAGAATTTCCTTTTTATTTTCTCCTTTAAAATTGAGTCTGAGTAACTCGTCTTGTGTTCATTTATTCTACATTCCCTCAGCCTGCATTCTCATGAGTCCATTTTGCTCTATATTCATCTGGACATTAGACTACTTTGCAAATATTACCATTTCTGCCCGTTCTTTCCGTACTGCTTGATTGTCAGCACCTGGAAGACAAACACCTCATCTTCCATTTTGTCTGGATTTCCCCCACTGAGCCTAGAAGACTGACTTAACACTGACTAGTGTGCTGTGTGCTTCAGGCGGTGGGTGCTTAATAAACATTTTAAAACAGTATTAAAATGTTGAATAAATTTGACAGCAGTGCTGCTTCTCATCATTTCAAACGCCAACACTTTCTAGGTCCCTTTTCTAGCAACCATTTCCCGACATACCTACATGCCTCCAGACATTTCAGCCAAGCTGGGCTCTCTTTTGATCCATCTTTCTTTGCCCGAGTTATGGAAATATTGTTTACATTTTTTCCCCTGAGGAGGGAAACCCAATGACCCTGCTGTGAAACTTGAAGTTGCTTTTTCTCCTTGGTAATTGGGGGAGAGGGAAGGACAGCAAGGATAGAGAAGGTTTTATTTCCAATTACTTCAGTTTTCGCCCCAGATCGTCTTTTACAATAAGATACAATGCCCCATGAGTATTTTCACATCTTTATGTTTTTAATTCTTTGCATCTGAAGAGTGCTAAGGATTTTAGGCAAGAGGTTTTAGTATTTTAACTAAGATATTTCCTCATGAGCTTTATTCAATACCTCATTTTCTTCCTGACCTTCTATAGTCAGTCAGGCAACATTTCTCTTATAACATCATTTTTCTTCTTAATCATTATTTCTTACCTGTGAAAAATAAGCTTACACTTAATGTTGTATGAATCTAGCATGGTAACGTACAGAAAAGCTTATTCTCTTCTTCTTGGGTAGGGAATTCTGTTCTGCTTAATCTATTTGTTAGCTTATTTAATCCTCACAACAACTTTGCTAGGTGGACAGGAGTCATTATCTCCAGGATAAGGAAAAGGAAACTCAGAGACGTTAAGTGACTTATCCAAGTGACACAGCACTGTTAGACCCACACTGAAAACCCGGACTTCTGACTCCACAGCTAGTCCCACACAGCTCAACTTTACATAATAGGCCCTGGTTGTGTCAGTAGAGACAAGGCTGCTAGGAAGAAGCAGCCCCATGACAGATGAGTAGGTAGGGAGCGGCGGCGGGGCAGGGCGAAATGCGAGAAGAGCATTTCGCGCATGCGCATATCACCGAGCGAACACGGCCTTGTTCAGGAAGCTAGGAGAAAGGCGGAGCTCCTTGTTAACGCCATCGCCAACCTCTGCTAACGCGCAGGCGCATTTCCTGAAGCTGAAGGTCCGCATAAAGACAAAGGGCCTCAGAATCGCGCAGGCGCAGTTGTGCCCTGGGTCGCCAAGATGTCGACCTCAAAGTATAAGCCGTCGCACCTGGCCACTCTGCCCTCGACCCTCGACCCAGCTGAATACGACACATCTCCGGAAACCCGGCGGGCGCAAGCCGAGCGGTTGGCTATAAGAGCCCGGCTGAAACGAGAGTACTTGCTTCAGTACAACGATCCCAACCGCCGAGGGCTCATCGTGAGTGCGGGGCCTGCCGGGCGGGAATAGGGTCCGAGTCCTGGGAGAGACCACGCAATGTGTCGGCCGCCGTTCCCGATCAGTATCGCAGACGCAGGTCTTCTTCAAGGCCTAGCCAACTCACTACCCTTTCACCTTTGCCAGAGGTTGGCCCTCGAGAGGACCGGCTCTGGAGTCAGACCTGGCTCGGTTTGAAGCCTTGATCACTTCCTGCCTGCGTGACCTTAAGAAAGTTGCTCACTCTGCTTATCCTCCCTCGATTTTCTGTCTGCAAAATGGGCGTAATATAGTGCTTACTCTTTTATCAGGCTGTTAGGATTAAATGAGATAGAGCGTGTGACTGGCCTAGCACAGTGCCTAGTTCGTAAGGCGTGTTCAGAAAATGTTTCTATATATATATATATATGCATATATATATAAAAAATTTTAAAGAGCTGGTGTTTACTTTTCAGTTCACACCTCATAGGGGTACTGCTCTCTCCTGATGAGAATACAGTGATTCCTTCAGCCTGCATCTTTTAAAGACCCTGCAGCTTGTTGAAGTTCTAGGCTTTGGAGTCAGAACCCAAAGCACTACTCACTGGCTAACTCTATTATTACTTTGGGCAACTTTAACTCCTCTGAATTATAGTTTCCTGATTTCATATATAAATGATGTGCATTCTTTATAGAATTATGAGGTTAAATAAGATAGTCTGTGTAACATTTCCAGCACATAGTATATGCCCAGTAAACTGGTAATTAACAGGTATGCTTCTATCAGATAGTTTTCTATACAGGAGCTAAATAGGTCAAATACGATGTTAACAGTACAGGACATTTCCCACACGTTGTGTTGGTGTTTTGGAATTTTGGGAAGTTATGAGGATTGAATGAAAGTTACAATGTGCCAGGCACTGTGGTAAACTTTACGTATCACAACTATTTGGATAATTAAGCTCTACTACTGTCCCCATTTTACAGATGAGAAGACAACGTGGGAAGGACAAGTAGGTCATATGGAGGTGCCCCTTTAGCAGGTGATAGAGCAAAATTCTAACCCTGGTTTGTGTAACCCACAGCGTCTGCTTTTAACTAGTAGGCTGTACTGTCTCCAGCCAGAACCTTGTTAACTTGGCAAGAGGGCGCAGAAAGACACATTTATTACAAACTCACATGATTGGATTTGATGTGTTAGTGTGATGCATTAAAAGAGAATAAGGCCTCAGTCAGACCTGAAACTGAAACCAAGATCTTCTATCTTCTAGCTATATGCCTCAGGGTAGTTTCAATTTTCTCATGTGTAAATAGAGGTAATACTACCAGTCTCTTTGGTTTTGTTGATTAAATGAGTGTGTGACACTATCATTCATTAACCAATACATGTAAATTGTCTTGCCTAATTTTTTTTTTTTCTTGAGAGAAGATCTTCTGGATCTCAGGCTGGAGTGCAGTGGTGCGATCTCGGCTCACTGCAACCTCTGCCTCCTGGGCTCAAACTGTCCTCCCACCTCAGCTTTCCAAGTAGCTGGGACCACAGATAGGCGCCACCACGTCCGGTTAATTTTTTGTATTTTTTATAGAGATGGAGTATTTTTTATAGAGATGCCCAGGCTGGTCTTGAACTCCTGAACTCAAGCGATCCTCCTGCCTCTGCCTCTCAGAGTGCTGGGATTACAGACTTGAGCCACTGCGCCCGGCCATCTTGTCTACTCTTTAAGAATGATTGATTGAATCAGTGAATAATTGCTCAGGATCTATTATGGCCCTATTTTACATGCCAAGATAACAATGGAGATCAAAACAGGCAAAAATTCCTGTCCTTGTAGAACGAACTTTCTAGTAGGGGAGACAACAAACAAGTTAAACAATTAAAATCATTTAACATATTAGGTAGTGGTAAATGATTTTAAAAAAAAATAAAGCAGGGGAGATTTGGAGTGTGAGTGACTAGTAGGGGAGGGAGGTAGCTACAATCTTAGGCTCAGGGAAGGCCTCTGTTTGAAGGTGATATCTGAATAAAGATCTGAAAGAAGTGGGGTGAGGGACCTAGCTCTCTAGGAAAGTAGCATCAGGGAATAGCAAGTGCAAGGGCCCTTAGGCAGGAGAGTGTCAGGTTAATTGAAAAACACTGGAGAGACTATTGTGATTAAAGTGGAGAAAGGTGAGGGCAGAGTGGGACAAGATCACACCAGGCCTCGTAGGTCATTGTAAGGACTTTTACTGAATAGGGAATTTCGTGATCTGGACTTAACAAGTTCTCTGGCTGCTTAGTTGAGAATTGACTATGGGGAAAAGGACAGGATCAGGGAGATTAGGAGGCTTTTGTAGTAATCCAGTCTGTTGATAGTGGCTACCAGGGTGGTGGCAGAAGGCAGTGAGAAATGGTAGATTGTGGGTGTATTTTAAAAGTAGAGCCAACCAAGTTTGCTGATAAGACTGGATGTGGTGTATGAAAGAGGAGTCAAGGATGACTCCGAGGTTTTTGACCTAAGTGATTTTAAGAATGAAGTTGCCTTTTACTAAGAAACACAGGAATGTGAGAGGAGAAGGTATGGAGGTGGAGTAGACTATTGGGAAATCAGTTTGGGATATGTGACATTTTAGACGCCTGATAGACCGTATGTCAGAGTTGAGCAGTTGGTTGGATATTGAGTCTGGAGTTCAGGGTAGAGTTACAGGGCTGGAGGTAAAATGTTGGGAATCATCAGCCTTTAGATAGATTATTTAAAGATTATTTACTCCCTTGACACTGTCAAGGGAGTAAGTGTAGATAGGAAAGACCAGCAAGGTCCGAGGTCCGAGGTCCAATATTAAGAGATTGGGGAGATGTGGAGGAAAAGAGCAAAGAGATGGAGAGAAAATGGCCATAGAGTTGGCAGGAAATCCAAACAGGTGTGGGCCTGGAAGTCAAGTGAAGAAATGATTTCCAGGAGTTTTCACCATGTCAGATGCTACTGAGAGTCCACTGGACTTTTAGTGATGTCAGAGGAGGAAAACTCTTCCTAGTGTGTCTTTTGGAACCTCTCTTAGTAACATTACTGGGCTTAATGAACTATGTTCATGGGGCAATTGGTATTTTTATGAAATGAAATGTCTGTTTCTGGAAGACAGATCTGGCAGGTATTAAAGCACAGAGAGGTGACTAGCAGATTGAGAAGTCTGCCATTTGATAGTCATTCAAATACATTTATAGCAGAAAGGATATAAAAATAGATGCATTAATCCTTTCAGCTGTTGAGCTTTAACATCCTCTTGGACCTACATCTGTGTCTTTACCCTCTTTCTTCTTGTTGGCAGTATAGGCATAATAATAAACAATGCTGCAGAAAACTTGCATGTGCTTCCATTTTAATGTGGTGTGATAACATCAATAGTTTCTAGAACAGCAGAACATATTTTGGGACTTTATACCTAGTAGTGAGTGCTTACACCCTTGAGGAATTTCAGTCTGACTGAAAGGAACCAGGAGCATTTCCATTATAAAGTTTTTTTGTTTTTTTGTTTTTAAAACTTCTGAGCTGCAGCTGATTATCTCAGGGTAAAATTGTAATTTAGTTTGAAATATGACTGTGAAATTATTTTAGTTCTACAAATCGTGACTTCTTGATGTTGGTTAGGACCTTGAATATGCATGTTATGTACTAAAGTCTTAAAGCTGATTTTATTTGCTTATTTTTATCTGTCAGTTAATTGGGGAGACTAATTTTGTAAAATCACTTGGGCATTTAGCTAATTAAATTTAATTATGTTTTTGTGGGTAGATTTGCTGTTCATAGATAGTTATTCTAGTATAAATATATGAAAATGGACAATTATTTTCTTAACCAAGACAGTCTGATTATTTTTCCTTAACAACTTTGACCTTTCTACAAAACTTTCAATAGTGTGAAATGTCTGAATTAATGCTTTTAAAATATCAGTCAAGTCAGCTTAAAAAACTTACAGTTCAGCTAGCCTACCCCCTCCTTCATTTTCCTACAGCTTATTTGTAGCCTGGAAAGACTATTTTGGTAATAGCATTAGAAAGGATCCTGGAAACAAAATACAAAGCATGGTAGAGCATATGAAATCTGTTTCTCTTCATTGGGAATACTGCGTGGTTCTGATGGTCACACTTGACAATGAAGCTAAGAACAGTCCAGAGAAGAATAGATAAAAATGACAAAGGAGAAAAAGTGGCTTCTATGACAGTTTAAAGATTAGGATTCTTAAGTAAACAGAAAGCTAATTGGTGATATGAGCCTTCTACATACTGGAGGATTTGAACACGATCATCAGAATTCGAAAAACACCAGAAATGAAAGATCTTTCCTGAAACTGTTCAGGAGTATTCATGATATACCCTTAACTGTTCTAGAGAACAAAATGTGTCTGTGCTCCTTCACAGAAGTCCCTATGAATTTGTTTCTCCATGTGATCCTTCTTAAGCTCTATAGCTTTTTGTTTTCATTAATTTTAGGAAAATCCTGCCTTGCTTCGTTGGACCTATGCGAGAACAAATGTCTATCCTAATTTCAGACCCACTCCTAAAAACTCACTCATGGGAGCTGTGTTTGGAATCGGGCCCCTCATCTTCCTGTATTGTGTTATCAAAGCTGACAGGGTAAGTATTCAGACCAGATGTTTAGTATTTGAGTGACAGGGTCCCTCGCTAGGGGCCACCTGCAGCTCCTTCTCCACCAGTGCCCCTCCCACTTTGGGGCTGTATACTGCCTTCCCTTCCTCTCTTCTTTTATCTTTATTCCTTTCCAGCAGGAGTTAAAACAGAAAGTTTTCAGTTACCTTTGTCTATTTTTCTTAGTTCATTTGTTTTTAAAAAAGATGATGTTTATTGGGTGAAGTATTAGCAGAATACATAAATCATTTAGTGCGTTTCCTGTTTGTGTGAATTCTGTTTACGTTGGTCACATTTTGCGAATTAATGTTAAAACCTATTAATACTCTAGGGACAGAGAAGCACAAGCTGCCTGTGGGGAATAGCTGCCATCAGCAGCCTGGGTATATGATTGTAGAGAAAGTCAAGCTGATCTTTGGCACCAAACTGTTCCACATCTGGTACTAAAGCCTGAGCTGCAGCCCCCAGGATTGTGTTGCCACTGGAGCCCACTCATCTAGCTTTGTCTTTAACTGGCCCATCTGCTTTCCCATTAGAGATCGTGTATTTTGATTATCTGGTAAATGATCTACTTAGCAGAAAGGTAGTCCACACTTTCCCAGAAAGTGTTTGCATTTTGCTGTCAGTGTATGCTTTTAAGTGGGATAATATATTTCTAATGACTAAAATGTGAGTAAGATGTTTTTGAATAGGAGCATTTTCTTACTGTCTCTTTAGTTCCTTAGATTACTATTTCTTCGCATACTCCCTGGGCTTTAGACAGTGGGATTGCAATTAGGTTTGGAGTGTTTCCTTCTCTTTGTCAGTTGTACCATGGGTTGTGCCAAAATGCAGTTTTTCTTATCTTTTTTATTATTTATTTTTATCTAATATAGCCAACTGACAGAATATATTGTTTTTAATGTACTTTTTTTCTGTCTATACAGGATAGGAAAGAAAAACTTATCCGGGAAGGAAAATTGGATCGAACGTTTCAGCTCTCATGTTAAGTCTGGCAATGATGACTATATGTATTCCTGCCTAAATAAATAGTTTATTAATCATTAAGTAGTAGTTTCTCTTTCTTAGTATTACCTTGATTCAATGTTAAAAACTTATTAACACCCTAATAACACAGAAGCAGAAGCGGCCTGTGTTGGGAATCACTGCTGTCAGAGTGACAGCAAACATTTGCTGGACATTGAATGAATGAACATAAATCTCTTTCCTCATTAAACTGTGAGCTCTTAGAGTACAGATTCTACAATCAGTTGTTCAACAAGCAAGTGTTAGCTATGAGCCAGGCATTATGTTATGTGCAGAGAATACAACAGTCAATAAGACAGAGCCTGTTCTTAAGGAGTACATTCTCTGACAGCTGTTTATTGAACAATTATTTCAGTGCTTACTACCTGTCTGGTACTATTTAATACCTAAGCCCTTGTCTGGCCCCAGCTGCAGTGGTAAATGCAGCCAAACTAACACCAATGTAAAAAATACAATCGAGATTCAGGAAAATGATGTAGGCAAGCTGATGAGAAGCAGTTCCACCTGAGGAATTTAGGAAGGTGGCATTTGATCTAGGCTCTGAAGTTCACAAGGCTGACAGGACAAAACAAGCGTGAAAGGGTAAGGTGTGTTGGGTATGGCTGGGTTGTGGGCTACTGTGGGGTGAGGAGATGGAGAGTGGAGGTCATGCTGAGGAACAGAAATATAATGGTTAGGGGTGTGAGCTTTGGAGGTCAAATCTGGGCTAGAATCCTAGCTCAAGTTAAACAGTTGGAATACTGGGCCTCCATATGCTCATCTGTAGCATGGAGATAGCCTACTACCTCACAGGGTCATGAAGATGACAGTGAAATAACAGTATTATGCTTTGTAGTTAAGTCTGGAAACAGTAGGGTGATAATTTCACCACAAAGGCAGAGTAAAGTCAAGTGCTGTAGATAGCATCCTCTGTAGGGCTGGTTTAGATGGTATATTGGTCTTAACTTTCAAAGGCTATTCACGACTATATGACTACACTTTGATTTGATGCTTGCGTTAGCCTGGGTTGCCCCAGAAAGCAGAGACTGAGGGAAAGGCTTCTATGCAGGTAGTTTATGTTAGGAAGTGAGCTGAAGGAATAGAAGATTGGGAAGAGTGAAACATGGAAGGAGGGAAAGCCAGCAAACATGTGCCATGAACCTGTTACCTCTGAGAGTAACAGGCTCCCACTTGGGACCTTCTGAGAAGCCCTGTGGAATGTACATTGAATTTTCCAACCAGATGTGGGAAAAGCCAATATTTGCCTTGTCTCCATTGGTCAAGGCTTATCCTATGCAATTCTCTTGTACATCAGGGTATGGACATACCTTGGAATGGCTGACTGTTTTTACAGGCATCACACATGCAGGAGAAAGGAAGCTTAGAGCAGAAAGCAAGTGATGTGCAGCTGAAGTAAAGTATTGTCAGGTCACACCTGCAGGCAGCTGACAGTTTCAGCAGTAGAGTTAAAAGGTGGACCAAGAGGTTGTGAGGTAGGCACAAGAGGCATAGGATTTCTTCCTCCACTTCATGCACTGCTTGGATCTGTTTGTACATACACAGTCCAATCTATAACATGTCCTTCAAGGTGATGGCTGTGTACAATCTACAGAACCCTCAGTATGGACCATTAAGGGAACAAGCTACAGTACATACTGTTGCAACTGGCCCATTCATCTCCCCTCAATGTACTTACTAGATTTCCCTTCCTTGGCCATCATTTTAGCAGGTCTAGATTGCTAGCCAGATGGAGTCACCAAAGCCTTCATTTCTAAGGACCAGAATCTTAGTTACTCTATCATCGTCAACCCTTTGTTGTAGCAATTGCATGTTTACAGTTGGGCTGGAAGTGGAAGCACCGAGATGTTCAGTGAATCCCCTGGACTCCAGACGTTACCCTTTTTGCCCCATTGTGTAGCAGCAACCCTAGCTCCATGGGTCACTTACTGCTGCCAGTATGGAAATTTCTTTTTTGGTCTACTGTTTCCCAAATACAAGAAGTACCAGATTATTTTGTTTCCCTGGTGAAAGTGTTCTTACGCCTCAGCGTGGGAATCAGGACTTCTTATCCAGTAGAACCTAAATTTGGAGGGAGGGGAAGCACATGTTCCACCATGAGTCACTGGGATGGCAAAAGGGGCCAATCCTACTTCTTGGTTCTCAAGAGTCATAAATTCTAGCTGTTGGGGCATAGCACTGTATCTATGACCATTGGTTCATTGCATATACCACATGGTCAACCCTGAGCCTCAATCCTGCTAGATGTCCTTAAGCTGGTACTTTAAGCCTTTAGTAGGCTTAGCTAAATTCATTTGTGCCCTAGAGCTGTCGTGTCCATCCAACCACACGGCAGTTCTTCTGACTGTCCAGATCTTGATGGGCAGTTCCCGTTGAACAGTCACCTCATCTCAGACTGGGTGCCCAGCTGCTTTTGGAATGGTGAATTTTTCTTTGCTGCAGAAGGCATGGCCTTCCTCCACAACCTAAGAAGTCAGCACTGCAACTATTCTAGTGCCAAGGTCTTGCAGGAGACTCCAAGCAGCATCCTTAGCTACCACAGACACCTAGAGTATTGGCTCTATCGTGTTATGTGACCCAAGTGGTTGCTGCTTACACTGCAGCCTGGATCTGCTGCAGAGTCCTTTCTGGTCTCCATTCGAAACTGGCAGCTTATAGCCAGGCATGCCTAGTATGTGCCTAGCTAATTGGAAGGCCGAGATGGGAGGATTTCTTGAGCCCAAGAGTTCAAGGTTGCAGGGAGCTATGATCATGCCACCCACTCCACTCCAGCCTGGGTGACAAACTGTGACCCTGTCTCTGGAAAAGCAAAACTAGCAGTTTTACAAATCACTGCATAAATGGGTCAGAGTACTGTTCCCAAATAGGGTACGTGTTGTGTCCAGAATCCAGAGGCCCACAAAGTGCTGCGCCTTTTTCTTTGTAGTGGAGGGTGTGAAGTGGTTCAACTTGTGCTTTACTTTGGAGGGGCTATCCTGGTATGCCAAAGATCACTGGATACCCACAAACATCACTGATACAGGAGGCTCCTAAACCTTTATAGAGATTATCTCCCACTTTCTGGATCTCATACGAGGACACTGAAGTAATGAGGAACCTAATCTATGAGTAAACAGAAGCTTTAAGGCAGAAATACTAGAAGGTGTGAGAAACAGCAATTCAAAGGGGCCAGGGTGATAGACATGTGGGAGTAGCTGTGTGTAATGGTGGAGTAAAGATCCATGAATTCCTGCAAAATGGATCTTAAAACTATTTTGGATCTACAGCTACCATCCTGTGCCCATGAGACTTGACCAAATCTTATAATTTCCATGTGGTTCCTGTTTGCTAATTTGTCTCTGCCCGTATCATTACAATAACGGTAAGACCCTGCCTCTTCCACCCATCTTAATGACCATTATTGTTACATTGTTCTCCAGATCTTAAAGAATTGTATTACTTTATTCTCATTTTGCTAGAGGGCAAAAACAGAAGGAATCCTACGGTGACCTTCAGTCTTTTTTTCTAGATGACTTTAGTGTACTCCGTAGTCCCCACTTATTCAGTTATCTGAAGTCAACCACAGTTCTAAAATAGGTGAGACAGTACAATAAGCCATTCTGAGAGAGAGACAACATTCCCATAACATTGTTTACTATTATTATTACAGTATATAATGACAGTTCTATTTTACTATTAGTTATTGTTTTATTCTCTTTTGGTGGCTAATTTCTAAATGAAATTTTATTATCGGTATGTATTTGTAGGAAAAAACGGTATACATAGGGTTTGGTACTATCTGTATGGTTTCAGGCATCCACTGGGGGTCTTGGAATGTCTTTTCTGTTGATAAAAGGGAACATGCTATTCTAATAAGAATACAAGTATACAAGTCTATTATAAGAAAATTACAAATTTCCAAAAAAGAAAATTACAAATTAGTTAAGTAAAAGAATAAGATAAAAGCCGCACCCAATTCCATCACACAGGGATGACATTTTGGTGTACAGTTGTCCTTCGGTATCTGCAAGGGATTGGTTTGGGACCCCCTCTGGTTACCTAATTCCTCAGATGCTAAAGTCCCTTATGTAAAATGGCTTAGTATTTGCATATAACTTATGCACATCTTCCTTGAAATCATCTCTAGATTACTTATAATACCTAATACAATGTAAATGCTATGCAAATAGTTGTTATACTGTCATGTTTATTTCTATAATTTTTTATAGTTATATTGACTTTATTTATTTAATTTCAATCTATGGTTGGTTGGATTCACAGATGTGGAACCGTTGGATATCGAGGGCCAACTGCATATCCTTCTAAAACTTTTTTTTCTCTGTGCTTATATATCTTTTCTTTTTTCAACAAAATGAGATACACTGTGCATAATAATTTGTAAATTTTTGGCTCAATGATTTGTCACAGACATCTTTCCATGCAATGACTTTTCTGCAACATTTTAAATAACTGCTAGTATTCCATGTGTCTACCACAATTTATTTAACCCATCTCATAGTTGAACATTTCATTTTCCAAGTTTTTCTTTTTTCTGAGACACAGTCTTGCTCTGTCGTCCACGCTGGAGTGCAGTGGCGCGATCTCAGCTCACTGCAACCTCTGCCTCCTGAGTTCAAGTGATTCTCCTGCCTCAGCCTCCCAAGTAGCTGGGATTACAGGCATGCACCACCATGCCTGGGTAATTTTTGTATTTTTAGTAGAGACGGGGTTTCACCATGTTGGCCAGGCTGGTTTCGAATTCCTGGCCTCAGGTGATCTGCCCACCTCGGCCTCCCAAAGTGCTGAGATTAAGGGAGTGAGCCACTGCGCCCGACTCATTTTCCAATTTTTTTTTGCTGTTTAATTAATGTAATGAATGCTCATGCCACAAATTTTTGTGTGTGTCTTAACTTTTCTCATAGGATAAATTTCTGGGAGTGAAATTTCTGGATCAATAAGTATTCAAATGTTTTGTTTTGGGTGTAAATATGAAAGGTTTTATAATTTTATATTCCTGGGCAATGAATGCAGTATCTGTTCCCTGT